ATATATATATATATATAATACCTAAGGCAAATCTCATATCGCAAATAGAGAAAAATTAGATTCTATATTAATTAGACAGGTCACAAGTTCACCTGCACGCTTTTGGGTTTGATGAATTTGTGATATTTGTTGGATTAATTAAAATGGACAATACATGTCATAGGTTTGGTTGCTACATGTTACATGTAGAGAATATATTGTTACATGTATAACTATGGCTTCAATTTTGCAGTGAGCAAAAGCCAGAAGCCCCTAACTCTTGAATATGAAGTATGGAAAATGCAAACAATTGGCAAAGGCGGTCCTTTCCACACCCGTTTGATGAAGGAAAACATTAAGACTGTCAGGGACTTCTTAACTCAATACTTTTTGAGCCATGAAAAGCTACTCAGTGTAAGAATTTATTCCCTTGCTATCACTTCAACCACGAAATTAAACTACTCTTTCCATAAATATAATTTTACGGCTTACTATAGATTAAAATTTGACATGATCAACCTGCCTCTTTCCATATATCTCTTTTTGATGAAGGTTCATCAAACGCAAACTTTCCTGATAGTACCGTTGCCGATTCTATCCATAACTAATGTGAACGGTAAAAGTAACTGGACCGGTACGTATTTATTTATTTATTTATTTAATTATAAGGGGCCACACATATATTAGTCTCCGTTGCCACAAATTATGATGTAGATTCAACAATTTGGGCCGACCTTAGTCAAACACCCCTCCAAAATGCAATGGAGGCCTAGGCTTTATTGATCATCCATTGACCCCGTCCAGGTAAGTGGATCAGTACGTAGTTGCTGAAGTAGTTAAACATATATTGTAAAGGAGAGGAGGCAAATTATATCTTAGCTCCCTAATTTTTCCGCACTTACCGTCTCTTGGCGAGGCGCGCGGTTCAAGCTGTAGCGTCTATGGATTGAACCCAATGAAATAATTCTGACCGGATATGAAAGTTACACTTGCTTCGTTTCATCTGCTGGTAGGTTAATTTTTCTTTGTGTGTTTAGTCATAGGTTAAATCTTTTTAACTTACCAGTTATGATACTTCCTGCTTCTTCTTTCTTTCTTTTTTTAAAATTTTTGTCTTTCTATTGCCATTGTTTTAAGGCCATTATGATGGTTGTATTAGAACATAATCTCTCTGTTTAAACTATATATTTCACTTTTTTTTTCTTTATGTGTCGACTGTTAAGTGATACTTAAAATATTTGCATATCAAAAGATCCTTGGCAGGGGTATGCACGCCAAGAAATTGGATGCGGCAGTTAATACGGCAAAGAGTAAACTTGACTTGAAAAGATACGTGTATCCTTCTGTCCATAATTCCCAGCAAAATGTGAAATCAGTGGTATTTACTGATGTGGGAGAAGTGATTGGAGTTTACCAAGATGGCCACTTGGTGTCAGTCGAGAATCTCTCTGGAACTCAAAAGGTTCTATTTTTAACTTCTTTTTTTTCATTTTCCTTTTCGCTGTTAATTGCTTCCATGAGCATGTGTTGCTTGTCAAGAGGAGTAATATCTAACCTTTTTTTTTTTTTAAATTTCTCTCCCTACTTTATGATCTGTTGATAGGCTTATGCTATGGAGCTGGTAAAAACAGCGTTTCAAAATGGCCAAAACATCAAGCTTTTGGATGATGATACTTTTAAAATGCTTTGCTCTTCCACTTCACCAATTGCTGTTGTTGATGGCGCTAATGGATTCTCTTTTGAGGCTTATTGTCCCACTGACACACAGCAGCAACCAGTGCCTAATGCTTATGATGTTCCCAGCACAAGTATTATAAATAATTATGACTCCAAAAACCAAATTAATAGCTCACCATCTCTTACCATTGAAGTGCCAGATCCGTTTATGTATGACTATTTAAATTACCATCCTCTTCCTGAAAGCATCTGGGATAATTATTAGATCATTGTTTCATTGGTTAATCTGTTAGTAGCTTGTAATATAGAAGCCAAAATAATGAGAATTATTTAAGGATGATTTGTTTAAAAGCTAGTATGTAGAGATTAGTATTGCATAATAGATTGTAGTGTCTAATCACAATACGTAGATTGTATTATAGGTATTAGTTATTGTTGGATGTTTGGTTATGTTGTATTAAAAATTAATTATATGGTGTATAATTTCAACTATGTTTTGTTACTACACGGAAGGTATTAGTTTAAATCCATGTATGGCTGTCCAACGGGACGTCCCGTCCCGGTCCCGTCCCGCTTCAAGTTAAATGGGATGGGCCAATGTTAAACGGGACGACTATTTCGTCCCGTTTGTCCCGTCCCGTTTCGTCCCGTCCCGTC